CCATTTGCTTAGGTTCCCTAAGTATGTTGTTCTGGGCCCACCCCTGCCTCGTTTGCCTTCAATTTTGCCAGTGCCATCACTAACATGAAATCGCCCAATCAGTGACCTAGAATCGCCTTAATCTAGAATCACCCTAACCTATAAACGCCCTAACCTGGAATCACCCCACCACTAGCCTGTCCGGAATCGCACCATCACCAACCTGAAATAGCCTGAACCTGGAATTGCCCTAAACCGGAATCAGCCCCACCACTCATCCGGAATCAGCCCCACCACTCATCCGGAATCGGCCCCACCACTCACCTGTCTGGAATCGGGCCATCACTAGCCTGTCAGGAATCGCCCCACCACTCACCCGGAATCGGCTCCACCACTCATCTGTCCAGAATCGCTCCACCATTAACTCTTTGAAGACGCAAATTTTGGTCATTCAAACGTTTGAAGAATCCTAACTTCGTTATCCATATATATTTTCCCCAATATATTTTTGGAGCCCTAAAAAGTAAAAAAAACAACAACAAAAACAAGATGCATACTAAATAATACTATGAAATGTTAAATCTCGTGTTTCTGGTTTGTGTACCTTGGTTCAAAATGAGCCACAACATTGGCTTTGATCTGTTTCTGGTCCGACAAATGTGTCCGGTAAAGAGCTAGCCTGTCTGGAATCGCCCCACCACTCACCCGGAATCGGCCCCACCATTAACCTGTCTGGAATCGCCCCACCACTCACCCGGAATCGGCCCCACCATTAACCTGTCTGGAATCGCTCCACCACTAGCCTGTCTGGAATAGGCCCACCACTCACCCGGAATCACTCCAGCACTAGCCTGTCTAGAATCGGCCCACCACTCACCGAGAATCGGCCCCCGGTCCACCACTCACCCGGAATCGCCCCCACCGTTCACCCGGAATCGGCCCCACCACTCACCCGTCTAGAATCGCTCCACCACTAACCTGTCTGGAATCGCCCCACCACTCACCCAGAATCGGCCCCACCACTCACCAGTCCAGAATCGCTCCACCACTAGCCTGTCTGGAATCGCCCCACCACTAGCCTGTCTGGAATCGCCCCACCACTAGCCTATCAGGAATCGGCCCACCACTCACCCAGAATCGGCCCCCGGCCCATAAACTCACCTGGAAACAGGCCGGCCCTGGTTTTCCCGGCGGTACAGCGGCCTGTAGCTCCACCTTGAGCTCCCCGGCCACGGCGATGAGCGTTTTGCTGACCAGTCGCTCGATCTTCTGCCACACCAGCTCCGTGTCGTAGCCCAGCCTCGCCATCTGGCGGAACACAGCCGTCATCTTGCGTTTGCTGCCCTCGTCCTCCTGCGCACACATTATGGTCACTTTTAAGCACAAAGGGGTTATCCCGAAAAAGGCTGTTTTGAGAAAATCGAAGGTAAAGTTTTTGCCCGGTGTTCAGTTTCTTTAAAAGACAAGGAGAGTTTTCTCTATAATCAAACAAATATATACACCAATGAAACCAAACTTCTCCTTTAGGTAGGACAATGCCCCCTTATGGTGTAGGTCTATTTTTGTGGAAACCCCCGAATTCTGGTAAGCCCGCTTGACCTTAAAAGCGAGCAAACATGTGTATAGAAAAGGGGGTTTTGGGGTTTTTGTTTTGGGTCGTTTTTTGCTGAGTATTTTGTTGTTGTTGTTGTTCTTTTGGTGGGGTTGTTTTTTTTTCGAGTGAATTCGACATTTGGTGCGTTTTCAAAAGCTTTGCACTATAGTACTACGGTCTTTCAATATTATTTTTTTTTCTTTCTTTTTTGTGGGGG